TTGGTGTAAATACCTATTCTGTGATGCGGTTGTGCCAGGGCTGTCAGCTGTTTTTATAATTTTGTTTTAATATTAAATATAATTAATAAGAACTGTGATTTTTTTAATTGGTATTAAGATTTAAAGAGTAAATTTTGATAACCCTGACTGTCAATATCAGCAAATAATAAATTATTCACGCAGATGAATAATATCAGTTGCGAAATCTTTATTTGAGACTGAGATTTATTGAGTAGATTTTCACAGCCCTAACATAATACCCCTTCGGTGTTTCTCCCTTGGTAGTTTTGAAGTAATGTCACATTACATAAATATCTACATATGAAAAAATTTATTGCAGATTTCAACAAGAAAATTTCATTGTTTTTGTGTCTACAAGAACAATAAAATTTTCTTTATAATAATAAAAAAAAACAATGGCAAGATATTTTTTTTATTATTACAGTGACGACAGTAGTTTTTGTTGTAAGTAGACGATAATGTTTAAAGATTGCATCCTACGAAAACCCGACTTTAATTATGATAAAATTGTTTTGATCGAAAAACTATTGAATCGATTTTAATAAAATTCCTATGAGATAAATCTGTATGTATAAACAAACAGAAAAAATACATCCGAATTGAGTACGTTCTTTTTCAAGTCGGTTGTAATTACGTATAAATAAATAAATAATAGTTTATTCTTACAATGTAATAGTTTATACGTTGAAAGTTTAATATTGCAAAAGAATTATTTTAAAATATATATATATATATATATATATATATATATATATATATATATATATATATATATATATATATATATATATATATATATATATATATATATATATATATATATCAACAAGCCAAAGGTATATAATAAAGGATAAAAGATTAGGTGCTCGCGTGAGGATTTAAATTGGACAGGCGGACAGAAAAAAAAAAAGAAATTTTGGTTGACGGCTCACGCAAACAGCTACCAGGATAATATGAAGGGCGAGAGTTGCACCGAATCGAAAAATGTAAAGGGGGATTTACACGAACAGATGCATGGTCCCTTGGGGCTCGGCTGTCGGTGTCTTAGGCCTCATTTGAACGCGATCCGTTTGACGTTAGTTACGAGTATTGGAGTTTGAAGGGGACAATTGAGCCAGACCGGAGAGGGTGCGTTCACGAATGGACAACGGGAGGGCATTTTCATGGGCGATGTACGAAGCTAACAAGGATTTTACTGGATATTGAGTGAATCTCTTTATAATAATGTTCACTTTTTGTTTTTGATTTAAAAAAGTTGTGGATCAGACCTGATGTTAATTATCTATTTTTTTACTTTATTAATCGAGCTCAATTAAGACTTTAAGTCATTATTGAATTTGAGATTTAGCCAGGTTAGAGTTGGGTTGATAAATAGCTTTTTGTAAACATCGATTTTGTTTTATTTTGAAGTTAAATTTGAAAACAGACTTTATATATTATTTATGGGTATTGTATATATTTTATGGGTAACTTTGTCCGATTGATCAGAGTATATTGCTTGACTGCGATATAAAAGTAGCCTGTGTTTTTCGCCATTTAATATACTATATGCACACTATGTAAAATCATATGACGATTAATCGAGTCTATAGAGCATCCAAAAGTAATAAATATATAAAAAAAAAAGTAACATTTAATTATTTACACTTTATTTCATCTTTTATAAAAATAATAAATCCAATAAATTTTAATGAGAAGTGATACAAAAGGCGGCCTATTTGCTAAGCAATCTCAAATTCACATTTATATAATAAGGATCACAATTTTATTCTTAAAAGACCAGTAGTTAAATATATATAAATATATTGTACCCATGATTATGAAAAAAAAAAAGTTTTTTTTCCTAATTTTTGATAAAGAAATAATTCTTTCGAAACATATTAGAAAAAAAAAAAAACTAAATGTTTATTTTTTAAATTGGACACATTCATTAAAATGGTAAACGGGCATGATATCAGACAAATGAAGTCTGTCGGGGGTTAACAAAAATGTTAAGATAACGTGATCGTATCGCGCTAAAGCAATTTGTCTGAGTAATTTATGGTCGCAGTTTATAATTAAACTTATCTCTGAACTAGTATCGGCACAACAAATGATCTTTTTGTGGGGTGCCCCGGGGTATGTGGGCTAATCGCTTCAGTAAATATTATGTGCGTCATATTGGTATTATTATGTTATAATTTATATTAATATCCTTGGCGAAATGTTGGCGAGACGTGCGTTCACCACAATGCCAGTAGACAGATGTTTCTGACTATAACGACAGGAGTTTTTTTTATGCAATCATAGACATAACAGAATATACTGTTTCGCCCATGATACTCTTGATTCGTTGCTATTCCTGAGTACTCAGGTATTATTCTTCTATAACCTGTAAACTCACTGCCATATCCCATCTTTCAAATTGAAACACAGCCACGCAAATACAACTGCATTACGGTTGAAACATGAATGGGATAGAGGTACCCAAGCAAACGACTTTTGTACAAAGTCTCCCGCTGATTCTAGTTGTGAATATATTTTTCTGATATTATTGGAGCTAGTTATGCAGAAAACGCTCGCTATGGACATATCATATGTGGACATATAATATGGTTGTTTTCTGCATAATTGACTTCGTATATATAATATCATTCATTAGTTGATTAGAATTATTTTGTTCAATTCCACTAGCACTAGTATGTGTGCGACTGCCAATATTCGAAGATTACTTTTTTTTTTGATGGGTGAAAATGGTATTGTAACCCCGTCTGCGCTAACGGTATACGCTTGCGGAGCACCAGTGAAGGGTAATAGATGAGAATGAAAATAGGCCAGTTAGCCCATCATGATGAATTCATCAGGAATTAACCATGATAGTTTCCAGGGAGAACCGCGAAGAGGTCGATCTGGTTGGGTATATTGCTAGCAATGGGATTCTCAGTCTCCATTACTAACAATCCCTTTCCCCCCCGAAGATTACTATTATTAGCATCAGTAGAAGTTCTATAACTTTCCATATAGTCATCAATCTCCGACTGTTATCCAGTCCACGCACATGTAGCAAGACTAGTTTCACCTACAAATTAGATTAGAAAGTGCTTCAGAAACACAATACTCGTAATTGTTTTGCTATGTTATCTAAGTAGGATGCACAACCCTGAACGTACTAGACTTACAAGCAATTTAGAAGAGTTCATTTACTAAATTGGCTCGATCAAGAACTGTATTCGAGATCTTATTTACGTAAAGAAACGTGTATGTTTTGCACAATAACGACTTATGATTGTACAAACATATAGTCGATGTAGACAAATTTTAACTGCATTGCTATCAAGATAACGTAATTGACAACCCTGAGGGAAAAAACATACATGACAAAAGCAGTTCCGTGCTTATGCTGTCTTCTGTGATGGAGGGTAATCACAATTAAGTCTTCAAATATAAAAAGAAAATATTTTAATATAAATATTAAATCGAATATATATATATTAAGTAACGTTTCTCGTATTTACAAGTATTAATGCTAAACTTAGGGCATAAAATTCGTAATTGCAAAGTAGCAATTAACATAATTCGGAAGTAACGCTTCGCATTTACAACATAAAGTCCATAATTAATGACCACTCGGCAAATAGATATGAATATTAAAAGGAGCTCCTTTCGGCTTATTTATTATCTCTACCCTAACACCGTTTCTAGATAGCGTCTCATATTTTCCCTTTAAAAGCTGTGCGCAGATGTGTTCACTAAAAGCGAAAGAGGTAGTGCTCAATGGAGGCAGGGCGAGGAGGGTAGAGGGGGGCAGGGGTGCATACGAGTGCCGAAACAAACACGTCAGAGTTTAGAAGGCTTTTCAACGCTTGTTTGTCTGTAGGGTCCATTGTTGCCGGCTAATTCTTAGAATTCCGCCTACTCATATGCTCTACTACTAAAGCAACAAAAGAATATAGGGGCTCAGTCGAAAGAAATCAGCTCGCTTCACCGTTTATAATATCCTTCCGGTATTATTACAATAAATTCATACAAAAGACAACAGGAAACCGAGGCGCGAACTTAAAATCGAGCTACGAAACTCACGTTACGAAGTCAGGAAGGAAAGGTCCCGAAAGTTCGTCCGAAAAACCGGGAAAAACCCCGAAAATTTAAGCCGACATTCTGTTTCCGCCGAGCGAGGGCGCGGTGTAAATATTATTTGGGACTTTCTTTTATTCCCTTTGTTTTAGACCTTTTATTATTTGCGGTCGGAGGTGCGCCCCGCCGCCATCGTGTCAGATGCCCCCGGATTATATGAGAGCCCTCGAGTATCCGTGTCGCGATGTGAACGCGCCAATTTTGTGATCAACGAAAAATTCACAAATAATAATGACCCTAAACAAGATTTTAAAACTTTCGCCGGTCCAATCCAAAGAAACAAAGAAAACTCGTCTAATTTATGTATTTTTCTGAGCCTTCAAAGCGAAAAAGGCCCTCCTCAAAAGTAATCGACGAATTTGTTCAAATAGAAAAATAAAAGAAGTTTGTCGCGCTCCACGATTGAATCGCGTCGTATAATTAGTCCGAGCACGGTTCAAGGAGCACCATTCCGATACATTCCGGGTGCGTCGTAAAGACGGAATTTTATTCCTTGGAATTCGTCGTCCCCGGGGTTTTATGAAAACTGCCCCCTTCACACTTGACGCGTATAACGCAGCAAAGAGATTCCGTAATTTGTGCACTTTGAGTGATTTTTGGGGATGATCGGAAGGCAGATGGCGAGATATTGGATATCCTAGTTTTATGCGCAGGCCTTGTAGACAATGTAGACCTTCGGGGCGGGTCGTAAAACAAAAAGGAATCTGTCAAGGACCCGGTGCGGATTTGCTTAAAGTTTTTTGGTGACGCGCGTTATTGGGAATGGAATCGTTGGAGTTTTCGGGTCGGTCATTTGCGAAATTGATGGATTTAGTACAGTCAGAGTCACATTTGAAAGTGAAATGTGTATTAGTATTAAAACTTACCGATCGCCTGTTGACGTAACTGGAGTTTCGTTGGCTACCGGCATCAGTCTGTAACAATGAATAGTTCAAGTTAAAAAGTAACATAAATTCTTGGTGTAACATAAAACATTTGTTAAAATACTGCTGCGAAAAGGTATTCTTTTATCCAAGTTAAAGTCGTCCATCGCAATAAGTTAGCTGAAGGTATTTTATTGGGGGAACCCTTTCCTGCAATCAAGGGAAGAATTTGTCAGTAGTACGAAGCAAGGGTCAGAAAGGAGCGCTTTGTCAGGCCAATAGTCCGAGACTGCAACACCTGAGCATTCGTATTTATTGCTCTAGAGATTGTTCGGCTCGATGGAGTTATTTACTATAAGTTTTCTTTATCGACATAGTAACACGGTAGCCTATGTAAAATAACAACGAATTTATATCTCGCTTTTTATATTTTTATTGAACTAAATAAAAATATTTGGAAATGTTTAACTAACAAAATAATATTGTATTAATTCTACTTCAATTGAAATACATAAAAGAATAAGGGACGGAAACCTTTAATATCTCATCACCTACTTATGTTCAGAAAACTGTTAATGTTACATTGATTGAAGAAAATACATATTATATTCATTTAATTCACACGAAAGAGTAGCTGTTTCAATGTGTAAAAATATATCTGCTCTGTGCTATGGTCAGTGTACCCTAAGGCTACCTTCCAGTCTCCAATTATCACTGATGGTAGCAACTCGCTTATATGGCAACTCTATTTATTTCACCATATCAGACTTTAATTGTTCACTGTTGAACATAGGCCTCCTCTTGGGGATGTTTTGTCTGTAGTTACCACGCTTAGCAGGCGGGTTGGTGAGATTAGTTAAGCTTTGATGATGTTTTAAAAAGAAGCTGTTGCTTCGACAATTAAATTACCTTAGCAGTCTCTTATGAGAGCCACGGGAAAGAAAAGAGCAGCCCATCTATTTTTTTTTATACAACTTAGAATGGCAAACAAGCTGACGCCCCACCTAATGGAAATTGGTAACCGTCGCCTATAGACATGAGCAGTACCATGGACATAACAACCTATACTGTTTCGCCCATGATACCCCCCATGCGTTACCATTCCTGAGGACTCAGATGTTATTCCTCTGTACCCTGTAAATTCACTGCCATATCCCACCCTTCAAACCGAAACACAGCCATGCAAATATGCCTATGCCAGGACCATATGACAATTTCATTAATAAAAACTTTTTTTCTACATACAAAATGTATACGGAACCTTTGAATACAAAGCGATGCGATTGCTAATACAAGTGAGAGAGAGCGGCAACAATGTAGACAACATAAACATAGTAATAATTTTAATATTGCCAACATAACAACCGCAATACGAGTGGATCTGTCTACGTGGGACAATGTACAGATATAGAAGGCACGTTGTTTAACAGTTTAGTTACATTGCAATTTTGTCGTTTAATACCCAACCTGACCCTAACAATTTGCAGTAGAATTAATTAATCTAAAATGACTTTTATTACATAGCGTACAGTGTCTTGTATCTGTTGAACAATTATTTCGCTAGGTACGAGTACACAGAGCAATGTACATGAACTATATTTACATTTTCGAACTGTTGTGAGAACGGAAACTCAGGTCAAAGGAAATATGTATCTAGTGCCAGTAGTCTGTATGTTCATTATTTATATGAGCATATTAGACGGTTTCATCAACCTTTGGGTCGACAACGTCTCAAAGGATTTGCTTTATTAAGACGACATATAATAACATGTATAATGGTGTCAGTATTAATACCACAGTATAAGTTATAGTATTAAAGTACAGTATGAACACTCTGCCGCCCACTGACCTGACCTCACCCCCTCTCAAACGCGCATAAATTACCATATGGATATATAATGGATGTATCTAGTTTCTTAGTTTTCTTAGTTTTTTAATGGATGATAATGGAATGGTAACCTGCGCTAACGGTGTACGCTGGCGGAGCACCAGTGAGGGATCATAGGTAAAAATGAAAAGGCAGGTTAATTAGCCCACCGTGATGAATATATCTGGAATTCAGCACGATGGTTTCCAGGGAGAACCACGTGGAGGTCGACCTGAGAGAGTATACTGCTACGAGTAGCAATTAGCAATCTGAGTTACATCGAATATTAAATTAATTTAAATTAAATAATGTAATGTATGTCTGTTTGTGCATTTGTTTTTATCGCTAACGGAGTGTACTAGATAAAATTTGATACAGTTTTGACGTCCAGGGTTTATAGATAAAGCTATAAAGTATCAAGAATTATCAAGAATAATGAGTTATATTATTTAAGTGAAAAGTTTGTTTAGTGCATATGTAAATAAATAAATAAATAAAATTATATCGTAAAATTTAGTCAAATAAAATAAAATATATGAAAACGAATAAAGTCAAAATATATCGTTTAAATTAACAGATAAATAAAGTGATTGTCAATTTAAAGATATGGAAATGACTTCGTCAATGTAATCGGGATTTCTTCATTAAGCAGGAAAAAAATGATAGTAGCTGGTGAAGCCATTATGGCGCTATAAGGTAATAAACAAACTCAATTTAACATTTATAATATTAGTGAAGCAGTTGTGTTTGCATTGCTGTGTTTCGGATGGATGGGCGAAACAGTATACTCTGTTATGTCCATGGTACAGCTCATGTCTATAAGCGACGGTTACCACTTTCCATCAGGTGGGCCGTTAGCTTGTTTGCCATTGTATGTTGTATAAAAAAAAATATTAGAAATAAACAGATGGATTCAAGTTATCATTGATTTTATAATTTAAGCGAATTTCATATGACGTAATGAATGTATAGGTATTTGCAATAGAATCAATTAAAACTAACAAATGACGCGGAAAAAATATGTTTGCAGCATTAAATAATACAAAATTAGTTATTACCTGATTTATTAAAAGCAGGAATCCCTTTGCGTTCTGTATACGAGGTTATAAATAAATTACAGGGTGGCCACACGATCAGGAGAGCTCGGCACGCCGGGACGGCCATATTTCACAGGACCCGTCCGGCGTCCCGCGGACGTGTCGACACCCTTTTTGTTCTTTTTCGCTGCCGTGTGGACGCCACCGCGTACGTAGATACGTGTCTGCGGCTTTATAGCGATTTTAATAGATAAATAGGGTTTTCGTTTTTGGTAATGTCCACCCGGAAAACTCAGCGGCAATGCAGTCTCGCTGCAATGTATTCGCCTTCGTTAGCGTTGAAAATTTATATATTTTCTCTTACTACAAATCAGTGTTGTTAAATATTCGGTTATCTGACTTCAGTAACTCTATTTGTTGTGGTTTGAGGTCGGGATTAATAGACAATCATTTGATTTCTTGTATTTACCAGTAAGTTGATATATCTCATTTGGAAAATACATTTTATATCCTGAGGAGATAAAAACATCGCTACAAAAACATCTTTAAATTCATATCACTGATAGGATTTTGCAACGAACTTTAAAAAAGGGCGAGAACAAAAGATCATGGAAAGGTCGCAGTGTCACAGGTTTTTCTGCTTGAAAAAAGCCCGTCTTTCAATAATATAATAATAATAATAGCAGTAAGTGAATTACAGTCAAATAATATGGTTTTATTGCAATATTGAATTTTATCTTTAGTTCTATAGGTATGGAGTAGTATTGAAAAAAACATTGCCAAGACAATATCACATTGCCAGCATCAAAAATAAGATTAGTCGTAATTCACAACGCTATTTAATTCCAGATTAACTCGTGTAACTTTACACTGGCCGGTGAGTTCATTTGAGAGTATTATGCCAACAAATATACAAATAACTATAAACTTTTCAAACGCAGCAATAATATAAAAGCTTAACCTGTTTAAAATGTGAACTTACTGCATCTATCTTCGTTAAGTCAACCGTGATATAATGGAGGCACTTCACAAAAGAACTAACGGTTTAGATGTCAAGTATCCAAAACTAATGACACTTAAAATAAATATGACTGGCATCTCAGCTATTCACGACGGGGCAAGGCCACGAGTGACAGATCCACAGCTAATTGTCGTCTTTCGATGACGTACGTAAGAAGCCATCATTAAAATAAACCTAAGACTATCTTTGCATTGTACAGAGACACATTCTCGATTTATATTTTGAACAATCTTTCCTAAACACCTATTCCTCTATAGCTCTTACGCGGAAACTAGTGAAAAATGAGCTCCGGTGCCACAGAGCAGACAAGCCGCAGAGAAATTATTTATAAGGGGGAATTTCTGAACTGTTCAGATATTCGTAAGTTATGTAGCCTCTCGAGAGACAAAGCGCGAGGCTAAGCGGGGGAGCGACGGTAAGCCATAATCTATTAAGCAATAATAGCGTAGCAGTGGCTCGGAGCACTAAGGTGCGGCGAGCGCTAACTTACAACTAATTGGCGACGAACAAAGGGGTTCAGACAAAGCCGGATACTACAGAGCTAATGGCGGCAAGGACATCTTTACACCGAGCCGTTTGGGAGGCACGAAGTCGATCAGTCTTGGCCAATTTGTTCGGGTATGTGGTTCGATCCAGCAGAATGTCATGACTAATTTAAAAATTTCCTATAAATATATGATGTGGTATTGAAATTGCTATAGGTGAATTGTAAATATAAACAGCAGTTTAATTTAAAATTTATACCAGCATTTCATCATTTACAACCTGACTATGACGATCTCCACAATCACAATATCCAGTGTGTTCAAAACAAATAAAAAGCTTGTCTGGAAGAGATTACTTAGCAATAAGATCGCCTTTTGTACTACACTATACTTACTGAAAATTGTTCAACAAATCCTGTAATGTTGGTGCAATAAAGTGTTAAATAAATAAATAAATAAAATAAAATAAATAATCGTGGTAAGAGTAGTTAATATTGTATGTAAAATGTAAAACATTTATAATCTATTTAACTTAGTAAACTAAATTTTTGTATAAAAAACAGTCGAGTTTCTTGCCCATTTTATTCAGCTAAAAATACGTCCGAATTGAGCGGTGAATGACAAAAGGTGTCAATGCTTAA